AGATTCTTTAGTTATCACTTATAGTTTATTACTTCCAGTCAAAAAACTAAGTTTTCGATGTCCTTTAAGCTCCGATGAAATTATGAAGTCATTAGAACTGTGTTTACATTCAACTCTATTTGCATTTAGAGGGGATCTTTTTCGTTCAACAGAAGGTATTGCTATGGGATCATTGGCAACTCTGATGGTGACCAATCTTTCCCCCACTCATCAGATATAAAATACAATGAGATGCTGTATTCCTTTCAAAATATGACTAAGTTATGTGGACGTTACTTTTATCATCATGAAAAATTGTTTTTTAGATAGACATTTTAATTGATAAACAATATATAGCAGACAATTATTTAGATTATGGGTTTGTGTGGAGGGATTTCGATTGATTGCAAAGTAGAATTTATCACCAGCCAACACCATTTAGAAATCACTGAAAGCCAGAGAGCACTGGACATCTGTTTCGCACTGGTTCGGGACTCTTCATCAATGCTTTCCAGTGCTCGCTGATTCTCAACGACCTCTAACTGGTGTTGATTCATGAAGAAATCTACTTTGAAACATTTAGCTTTTTCAACAGGTAGAATCCAATGCAAATAGTTTGTCATCTGGGTTCATTGGTTGTAAGGCGTCATAACGGTAAACCAAAAATAAATATCTTTGGGGAGCCTACAGATTCGAACAATTTACTAGATTATAACTCGGCAAATCCCTTTACCACCTATTCACTGGAGAAGAAGAAACTAGCAGATAGTTAAAAGTGGTCCAGCCTATTCTAGAATTAAATAATTACCCAAAAGCTTCTATAAAAAGGTATAAAAAAGTGAGGATAATGATATCTTGAAACCCCCTGCCAGGAATTTGATTAATACTGTTGTGATTCTTTATCAAAAAGGGAATGTTAGACGAAATAAGGAGAATCCTTAACAATCATGACATAAGAGTGGATTTCCATGCAATGAACACCCCTTACACTTATCACTACCAAAGGCAAAGGATATAATAGAAGAAGACAACCAACAGAATTGAGTATACGAAAAAATTTCGGGGATTGTGATTCTGTATGTGTGCGGGAGAAATTTCTAGACAGGTCAGTGTAAGAGTTAAAAACATAAACAATGCCTAAAGGATAGCTCCCAAAACCTCATTGGGATAGATTGAAAAAACCAGAAAACAAAACAGTGATTGAACTAAGCTGGATAGAAATTGCACACAAGATCGATTCTGACAGGACCAAGATTCTAACGAAAGCTTTAGACTCAAATAAAGAAAGCTTGATTGCAGAGTTCCTACATATGTGAGCGGAATCCTAAAAGTTTGAAATAACTTGACGGTGTGATGTTAGCTGATAAGCGGCGAGTCATGATCAATTAACAACATGGATGGTGGGTAGTACTAATGTTCATGCCTAAACTATTATCCTGATTATGCTTATCATATTGTTCTGATGCTAACAAATGATACACAGCCGTCCACCCGTACACACATTACTGCACATCACATATTTTTAATTCAGATTTCAGTGACCATGGTCTTTATTCGAACATTATTACTGTAATGTTCAAATTAAAAGTACACATTATTTACAGTGTCACAAGATAAATTAATGATGTTTGTCGAAATATCTAGTCAAATCTTGACTACTTTAAACTATAGTGGCCCGAGATGAAACTATCTGATAAAGACCTTGACAAATCTCTGTTGACCAATCAGACGAGCCCTAAGTAAAAGTACGTAATTTGAAAAAAAGTGTACGTAAAAGTGATGTATTGTCAAAAAATAGTTACATGAGATAACGCCCACCTATTTGTTCTACGCATACCTCCTAATTTCTCATAGGAGCTCTCATAGTTAGGCTAAACCAATTTCTGTACATAAGTTCGTCGAGATGACTATAAATCATCGCGCTTCTTGACCCATTTACCTCTCTGATCTTCTTTTATAGGTACCTCTAGAAACCGATGGAATTTGTGTGGGTCCCATCGAAAGGATTAACGAAATTACCAGTGTGATTGACCGCGTTGCAAATGTAGCCCAGCGATGAGAGTTGGCTAATGCTACTGCGTTAGTCCGTATGTATGGTTGTGCTAGGTAGGACCAGACGTTGGATAATAAGTAATAAAACATTGGCACTGAGATCAGTGGTCGTGTGGATATATCCTTTCCGCATTGTGGTATCATATAATCCCAAAAACCCACTGACGATCAGTACTGAATATGCTGTGATTTTATTTCCTTTTTATAAGCACTATTTCGTTCACATGAACAGTGACACCGAGGCCACCAAGTATTGGGGTCATATCGTTCATTTTTCATGAAGTTATATCTCTGCACTACTAATACCACTCCACTACAGGCACTTGTGAATTCTACTTTCCAAATGCCGTCGCTATAACTGATCTCTTCAAGACTCAGTTGTGACACATCATAATTTTCGTTAAAGGTAACTTCGACTTAGTGAAGTAGGTACCTACAGCATCCATAAACTTAAAAAAGAACAGCATACCTTCTCGAACTGATTTCTTGTTTTGGCAGTCTGTGCACTTGTACACAAATCCATCAATGGAGTGTATCTTTGCAAGTGCATTACAACTACACATTTTCTCCCTTCCAATGAGATTTGCCAGGTAATTCGTGTACAGTATCCATAATTCCGCCTATGTAGTAAAGACTCCTCTGATTGGTTGCTCGATGTCATAAATCCGTTCATGAGATAGTTTCGTTTTGGGTCACCATGGTTTAGAGTCACCCAAATCTTGATCACATATCAGACATTTTCTGTTTGATGACTATTCATGACTCAGACACGAATTTCAGGGACAAGATGTGTCCTTTTGCGTACACCTTTCATTCTAATTATCACCTTAAAGAAGTTCAGACCAGTTTACCGAAAGATTCGTTGGAATTATTTATTTCAATTTTGCTGAGATTTATACCGGTAAAATTTTTGTATATCACTATTTTCAGAATCTAAAAGATGACAAGCAGTGATTATATCTAAACCGTTGTAACTGCTCCATCTCATAAGTCATCTCCAGTCAATGATCCTTAAAGTCCGAAAGACCTCAGTCAGACAGTCTCATCTCCTCATATGGATCATTCCGAACACCACTGATATCATGGATAGTTGTCGTTTTTGATCCAGCTACCACTAACATTATTTTCCAAAGTAGAAAGTGGCTTGGTATTGTTTAAGTTGCACTTGTACTACAAAAATGGAATTTTTACTTTGAGACATTTATTTAGCTGTGCTATTAAAAAAAGATGTAAGACATAAAACAGATGTGGAGTTTGCTTACACTCCACCCAAAGCTAATTAAGGTAATGAAGTTAAGAAATCCAACCCATTGGATTCGAACTCACTGACTTACAAGCTTGCTTCGAAACACGACAATTTTAAAGGCTCCACATCGTTGATGTGCATTTTTAAACAATTTCAAACTCAAGTGAAGCAGCTATGCTTCTAGGTTTAGTTGGCGTAGTCTTCTAAATGACATTGATTCCTAAAAAGAACTGACCCAAGTGGAATTGAATCTTGAAAACTCCACATCATACGGATATAGAAAATAAATCGAACAGATGTCGGACAACTGACATTGAGATACCTTAGCTAAGAAATTAAATCATTCATCTTCGACTTGAAGGATAATGTATTCAAAATAATAATGATGGTAATAACAATAATGTTTTCATGGATTACTTTCAAATCCCTAACTGAGTCTTTTCAGATGTTTTTCGATTATTCTATACTAATACTATCGCCAACCTTTGAAAATCTGTCAACTGACAATATCTACACTCACAACTGCTAAATTTAGTGTGTTTTAGTAATATCCTTTAAAAGTCTACAGGACTGGCAATAATAATGATGGATATATTGACGAAAGATGTAGTCGTATTTTTACTGTATACCACTGATACTAGTGTCCAAGTAGCATTTAAAATATCTATTCATTTCTGTTTAACCTATTTGATTAGTATTATACACACAACTGTTAAAAGCGAAACATGAATTTCATAGTGTAAACCACATCATTTGATTCACATTATTTCTGTTTCTATAAGAAATTTCATAAGAGTTTTAGTTGATATTGTTTAAGGCTTATTTCCCATGTCTACCAAAAGCATGGGAATTCGTGATCAGTGGGGTCCACTAAGCTGTATGTGAGGAAAAACACTCGCCGATGGCTTCAGCTAGCTGTCGCGCAGAAGTTAAAATTGATTGGTTATTGAATTTAATCCCCAGGGGCTTAGTAGTCAACCGGTTTATACAGTAACATGAAGATCCTGGGCTAGATCGCTGATGGGGTCATCGGTGAGTACTAATAAGGAGTCTAAAGCGAAGACAAAACAGTCGTCCACTACTCCTAGTTGGTCTCTAATCGTCCCTTAACTGAAATCAATCAAACCCCTGCAAAGAAACACTTGAATACGAGTGTAATACTAATCTGGATTTTGTCATGAGTCGAGTGGGTGCGTACACAGCTGAAGAGTTTCAAATCATACCTAAACAACTGTCCAATGCTTGATTAGATAAGTGACACAACCCGTTAGATTACAAATAATGCAAACTTAGTACGCTAATCATAACAACAACGAAAACTATAATAATAACATAATCACACAAAAGTAAGACAGACTGTTGACAGATGAGCTATCAGTTGTCTCTCGAACAACAGCCGAGATATTTGACATTGATATCCAGTAAATAGCCTTGATAAATACTGATTCCATAGATGAATTTATAGTGTTAACAGTCAATAAGAGACTATCATTCACAAAGAGTAGGAAATCCAAAAGGCTCCATGAGTGAGCAATCACTACAAAATGCAGTCATTTTAAGATCGGCAGGCTGATGTCACGCAAAACTGTGGAGAAATTGCTGATACACACCAGTGCTCTTCGGCTCCCCAACAAATGTGTCAGTGGTTTATGACGACATAAGCACTTGAATTATTAAAAATTCCTTGTAAAAATAAAGTTGGTGCGTGTAGTGTCGAAGAGTTCCACACCAAGACGAAATATCTATCCAGTGCTCAAATGATTCTCTAACTAATGTGTCACTGCCTGACAAAATCTACATTTCAATTATTCAGTAACTCAAAAAATTTGTATATATGAGAAAAACTTGAACAAATAAACTGGTTAATCCATCTCTGTGTGAACACTTAGATCCTTCTCAATGTAACAGAAACAAACACCAACAAGTGAGTACATGTAAGCACTTTTATGAGTAGAAAGCAAACAAATGAAAAAAAAGTAACAACAAGTATTTCTCTGTTATTTTAGAAAAAAACAATAACAACAACAAAAAGGCATATGCAAAAATAAACCCTGAGAGTGTGATTGTGAAAGAAAGAAAGAAAGAATAAAATTTACATCAAAGTATTCTTATGCGTATACGTGTGTGTGTGTGTGTGTGTGTGTGTAAAATAATCGTTATACAACAAAATATTGATCAATCACAATTGGAATTATTTAAAGTATATGAATTGGATGGTTTTCCTTCTAATTTACTAACAGTACCATTCAAATGACCAATGTAAACTTGTCGTGCCATATTGATGAACAAACCAGTTCCAACAATACCTTGAATAGATAGATAAATAGATAATTAAAAAGACATTTTATATAAACGTAAACAAGATAATTTAAGTTAAAAAATCGATATGCAACACTGATGATAACATCTAGCTTGACACACAGACGTCCGCCAGCGAGAATTTGAAATATCAGTTGCTTCTACCTCCTCCGGAAAAAAACTTGGTTCTCCTTTGCTCTAAGTTATATAACCCAACTGAGAGTGTCATATCATTTAGGAGTTATAACTTCTTTCTAATTCAATTTTAGATTTTCCCGTCGACTGATTGGACCGAAATGCTCGGTCTCAGGTTGACATGTCGGCTCCTTGTGCAGATGTTTCGACGATGTCTGGGCATGTAATTAGGATTTAATTGGTGGATGGTTACTATCAGTGGAATCCAGAATGCACATTTCATCCTATTTGGGAGTCGTCAACTGGATTTATCTGCATTTCCCAGTGAATGACGGTGTCTCTACCGATAACGCTCTGGTGTTTGAAACTATGGGCACTGGGTTCGAGCCTCGGTGGGAACGCAGGTACATCCAGGTGACGACTCCCAAATAGGACGTAATGCGCATCCTGGATTCCACTGCTAGTCACCAACCACCAACTGACTTCAGGTCATAATTTCTGTTTGTCCTTCAGATAGAGTGAAAGGGGGAATAAAAACAGGGATCGACAAAATAAGGAACAGAATATGAAGGTATTCATGGTGAGAAGAATGTAAATTTGGGACGATGTTTTACTTAAAAAATATGGATTAATTAATAAAATTTTGGATAAACCTCTGATGAAGTCAGCAATGGTCTTCCCATTATTATTATTAATGTCCATGAAATTCTTGACAGTTAGTTTGACCCACATAGGAAGGTGTAAACTCCCTAGGTCGGCTCTTAGGGATGCTAAGAACTAGTGGATGGAGACAATTGACGTTTGGCTCGAAATCATTCTCAGCGGTACAGATGCAATCAAATCTTTGTAATCTCCTACATATACTAAACCTTCATATTTTTCCATGTTGCCATTCTTTCTCCCTCAGATTTCTGCTTATTATATTGTTATTTTTAATCTCTTTTCTTCTCTCCTTTGTCTTTCTTTCCATGATACATGAAGTGTGACGACTGACGCAGTTCTGTGTTGAAACTAGTCAACCAGCCAGCATTATTATTACTACTTCTTTAATTATTGATTACTTACGTTCCAGGTGGAACAAAGGGTTTCAGTGGCATATCTGTATTGCATTTCATCAATACTTGCTTCTCTTACTCGATGATGAAGGTCGGATGATCGTCCAGATAAAGGATAAGCAACAGGGAGCTCTGACAGTGTTTCAGTCAACAATCTGTCTCTCATCAAATACGCAGAAAGAAATAAAAATGGATGGAAAATACGCTGAGGTGACAAACCTTCAAGTGAGACTACACACCAGACAAATGCATCAAATGGGACCTGATTGTGAAGTGGTGGCTGTCCGTAGATGAGATGACGAAGATCATGTGAAGAAGAAATGAAAGCTTGCGGGTCAGCTGATGTTCCCACCATACGTAGTGATAACTATATTCTACACTAACTGACCTATTCATTTCTTAAAGTCAATAATAACAAATCCTAATTCATATTAACAGTGACCATCCATTGAACAAGAAAGGTTCATCGTAACTCAGTTATCATGATGACAATATGAAGAGGAATTTTTAACAGACTGAAAAGATAGGCAGTGAACAACATAAAATTCAATAATTCTGAGAGATATTTATAAGAAGCAAGAACAAATCATTTTTGAATTCCTTGTTGTTACATTGCATTGAGACGACAGGGTAGGTCTCTATCAACATGTTAGCTCAGTAGTACAGATACTTCGACGATGCGACTAAGTTGAGCACGATATTATCTGAATTCCATTGAATAAAACTAATCTGTACTATACTGCCTAAATTCTACTATTATATCAATGAATATTTTGGGTATTAATGAAAAAACAACAACATGTGACTGGGCGTTGTAGTTTACGCCTTCCTTTTAATTAAAAAGTTCATCCATTTTGGATAGAGAAAATATATAATTTAGGTCAGTCAGAATAAAATCAATTACGCCAGAGGATCAGAATGATAAACAGTTAAAAAGTTAATGCTTAGGTCAATGAAATTAGCCAATCAAAATAAGTACAAAGAGGAAATAAACCTACACAGGGTAACCAATTACATTTAATTAAATAAAGTATAATTATATTTTATATTATATTATAAAACAATTCCAACAGTGGTGTGAACACGGGCAGTAATTTTGCTCGAAATATTACCAATAAAAAAACTTATCATTGTGTGTAAACTATTAAAATATAATTATACTTTATTTGATCTAATCCACAATGCTCAAACTTTTTACTGATATTAATACATTTAATTAAGTTCACCAGAAGAAATTATTTACCTTCTTACAATAAATTTTCATGTTTCGAAGTCAATAATTAAGATTGCATTAGTTACAGAAGGCGACTTATTTATCAATACTTAAAACTTGTCAGTTGGATGTACCGGCATTGTATATTCACTTCACCATTTCAATTGGGGTCAAGCTCCAACATCTAGTAGTGTTGCGTTTATTCCCAAAACGCATATATTCTGTCTTTATTATTTTTCTAATTCCTTTGCATTCTGGGTGGAACGTAGGGCTTCAAAGCTTGAGATTTGAAATTTCAGTAGCGGTGGTTTTATCATCTTCAGGATGAGCTTGCTAGTTTCACGCCTGACATTCCCTCTTTACTAGATTTGCTGGTGGTTAGGCGAGGTTTAATTGTGTGTTAACCGGGGATCGAACCTCGTAGCATGCGCATGGTTAGTAAATATTCTACCCCTAGAGTGCCATAGAACTACATTCAATCTAATAGAATCCAATCAATGATCGCGATATATTCTCATGATATATATGGTGTACAAGCTTTCAAAGAAAGTCATTCAGTCAGACAAAAGAGATTATTTGCTTCAGTTTGTTTCATTAAACATAAATTTACTCCAGCCCAAAGATCATTATAATATGTACAAATACTAAGAAATGACGATTGATATAGACTATGAATAATGTATTTCCTTAAGCGGATACATACACACTTATAAATTATTTAAAATAATACCAGCGTGTTGAAAGAAAAATCATAACAAGATTTTTCGGAACGCTTCGCTGCATAAGTCACAGCTTCTTCAGCAACAGAATAATTCGGATTTTATTAACCATCAAAATATATAGTCAGAAAAAATTACATAAATTGAAGAGATAAAGCTTTGGTGAATGTTAAAGATATGCTTCCCAAAACGACTCAAAACAACTGTGTTTATAGGATAGTGTTCAGAATTTAAAGTTTGCTATATGGGGAGAGCAGTAGACAGGTAAAGGTCAGAGTGAATGAGCATAATTTGTGCACGAAACGTCCACCTAAAACATGAAGTAGAAAGATCAGCGGACATAAGATCGATTTGGACAATGTCGAAAACCTAGGAAGAGATTTTCATTCGCATAAAGAAAGACTAACCTCTGAAGTCTTGCATATTGCATCCAGATCGAATGCAGTAAATAAGGGAGAGAAGGGATACACTTATCAATTATGTAGTAGGCAGTAATGAAGTAAATCATAAAAGTTTATTCAATCCCATTTTTTATCATGATTTCTACGAATGAATTTACGTCTTTTTCATATAACAAATAACATACACAATCGTGCAGATAATAATGTAGATATGAGTTTTTTCAAGTTTAGATAATTAATCAGGTAATACAAGAATGATCTAATATAGAAACAAGGTTAATTAAACAGCAGCTAAAGTAAGATTGAGTTAGTAAGTTAGATGACGTAATATAATTGACTGTCTCTTCATTAGTATTATTTTGTCTTCTCAATTGTAATTTTTTACATTCTCAACCTTCCTGTTCTCTACCCCCCACTCGATTTAATTTCTACACCTCATCACCACTGTTACTGACTTGACCAACGCTCAATTTCTAGTCATTTGTGTTACGTCATACAAATTACTTGCTCAATTTTAGTTCTAATTTAAATGGCATTATTCTCTACACCACCTCTACTTAGTCTATACCTGCAATTACCTCTGTTGCTACCCTGACCGAGACATTTATAAAGTTATATTTGTAAAATCTCAGCGAAATTGAAATGATTAATTCCAACGTTTCGTTCGGCAATCTGGTCCGAACTTCTTCAGGGAAATTAATCGAAATTAACATAACAAAGTTTATATATAAAGGGACACATCTTGTTTTTAAAATTCTTGTCCAATCATGAATCATGCAACAGGTATCAACATGTATCAAACATAAATAAATAGAATTGTATGTTTATACAAAAGTACAATAGTACAATCAATAGGTATGCTAAACAAAACAAAACAAAACAAAAATTGTATGAAAAAATTATATTTGTAAAATCTCAGCGATATTGAAATGAGTAATTCCAACGTTTCGTTCGGCAATCTGGTCCGAACTTCTTCAGGGAAATTAATCGAAATTAACATAACAGGTTTATATATAAGAGGAACATCTTTAGTTTTTAAAAACCTTGTCCAATCATGATTTATAAAACAAATATTAACAAGTATAATAAACAAAATTGTACGAGTTGTGATCAAAATTTGACCTCAGACTTACAAATATTGATCTACCTTTGTTAAACACTTTAAACACAGTGTGTATGTGTGTGTGTGTGCGGATAAACAGTTGTAAAACAATGTCTTAACGTCTCCATAAGTAGATATAGACAGTCGGGAAGCTTTGACCAAGTATTATTAGTTAGTGATACATATCCATTCTTATTTATTAATCAGGATTTCCTATGCGTCATCTAACATCACACCTTCATGTCTGTTCAAACTGTTAGTATCTAGAATTTTATGATTAGACGTATTTTCAAAATTATGGTGTTTAGGATTAGAGTTTAGTTGAACAACCCTGTCAAACTTATTACTTTGTCTTCTTTCTGAAAATTGAGCTGCTTTATTCG